TAAGGTTTCTGGTCCAAACTGTTTTCTCAAAGCCCAAACTAGTTTGGCAATTTGGGCTTCTCAACATTTTTTATAAGCATGAACATTAAATAACTATATAAATCAACTTGTTTTAACTTAAACAACTTTAAAATAATTTCACCCAATTTCAGCTAATAACAAAAAGTAGTTTGGGCTTATAAAAAAATAAATTATTTGTGCAATTTCAGCTACAGTGCAGATCATCTATACTCAAAAGTTTAATTGATGATCCGCGAATAAGTGAGTGAGTCGTACATAGTAAAAAACGAGGGAGATTTCATATCAAATGATCGGCAAAAAAATCTAGAAGTGCTGATTTTACTATTAAAAAATTTTACTTTATGATCTTTTACAAGAAAATAGCACTATGTTTTTGTGCCTCAAATTTATATCCCCTTATTTTATAAGATGGAATAAACATCAAAGAATATATTGGTACTTTTTTTTTGATTTTTAGTCAGAAAATAAAAAACTTTACTTTGTAGCACCTGTAGATTTTTCTCCTATATGAAATTTCCCTCACAAATTACTATAGCATTTCACTCATTTATTCGTGGATCATCAATTAAATTTTTGAAATATTATGTGATCCACACATTGGATTTTAAAAACTTACCACATTTAGAGCTCCGAACGGGTCGGGTCGGGTCAGTGGTTCAACCCGACCCGACTCGAACTTTTAAACAGTTGACCCGACCCGACCCGTTGGGTCAACGGGTCACAGATTAAGAAAATTACAAATGTAGATATATTAATTCGTGATCCATGATAGAAGTGCACGCTGTAATTAGTAAAATTTTGGGGGATTGTCATTATTAAATGCTTACAATTGACCAACTTTCAAAATTTTTTTACCAATACACATGACGCGTATTGCACAAAATATCCAATAATATGATGCAAATAATCTCAACCTTTATTTTGATTTTTTTTTTTTAGTTATTTTTTTTACAAATTTTTGACTTTACTATTCAGCATCTGTGGATTTCCAAGAATTTTATTATACTTTTTCAT